TTCTCTTTTTTAGGTGGTCTACCACGTTTTTTTCTTTCATTTTCAACCAAACTTGAGCAAAGAAATTTATCGAGATCGTCAACAGCTGTTTTCAAATTGCACAAAGACTTTGACATTTTTTTGAGAAAAAAGAGAACAAATTGGTTGCAAAGTAAATGATAAGAATCTTTAAATATAGTATAATAATCAATCATCATCATGACGCATGTAATATATTTTGAAGCCCGGTAAGAACAGTTTGCAAATATAGCAATCATGGAAAATAAATGGGGACGGATATTTGTCGACGAGTGATATAGCCCACTTGTAAACTTTTAACCAGGTTTCTGGTTATTTGCCCTGCGAGATACATTGTCTATTGTATACATGATATACATGATATTGCAAATAACATTATCCATTTTCCAAGAACAAACAAAGACATGTTGAGCACTATCATGTCTCAACCTAAAATATAATGACATTTATTCTGTATACTGTAGTATATACAGTATGTGTAAGTTTATTAACTTTGAATTATATCAATATCACGTGTCAAATTTAATAATGACGTAATAATGTAAGATGCGTTACGTGAATCGTAAATACGTAAACTAGAAAAGGATTTGCGTAAAAAATCTACGTTACAATTATGAGTGCATCTAACAGACGGAAAAAGCAAAATGGTGAAAATAATGAACAAAATCTGAAAGACAAGATACGTCAAACGGTTCGCGACATCTGTAATCAAGAAGCAGCAGGATTAGGAGTAACACCGACCTCTGATTTTATCTCTTCTCTCACGGATTTGGTGTACGAACACGTCGAAACCACCGGATCATTGTTGGAAGAATTCGCGAATCATGCTAAACGTACTACCATCGCAATAGAGGATGTAAAACTGCTCGCGCGAAGAAATGAAGATCTAAAAACATTTATCCATAACTTTGCAGAAGATTTAGAGAAGCGCAAAAAATCGCGCGCCAAATCCTCGAAATCTGTCAAAACTAAAAGAATTGTGGACCAACAACAATCTTGTGGCGAAAGTACAGAACACGATGTTAATGGCGACGATGGAGATGATGAATGGGAGGACAGCTAGTCGTGTTATATCACTCTTAATCTTTTTAGAATATAAATACATGGAACTTGGAGCCTTAAAGAAGATAATCAATCATGGAATTTAACGACCGCATTTTCGTACCATTGTAAAGAGAAGTGCATGTTGATATCTAACTTTCGTGTAATTCATATTTTAATATCAATATACAATAGCATAGCAAAGTTCAATAATTATACTTTGCGAATATCAAAAGTTTCCTGAGAATAAACTATACAAGGTTTCCGATCAGAAATATACACATGTCACAATATCAATATTGTCTCGGAATTTTTTTTTTAAAGCAAATAATGACTTTCGAAGTAGAATAGATTACTGACAAGAGTTCCTATCACCAGTAATGATAGTTTCTTTGTGTGTAAACTGTCTCATGGATTTGCCTCTTCAACTTCCCAAACGTTTTCCTCATCATCAAAATTGTAGACCTATAATATAATAATAATTCAAAAATCGACAGAGAAGACAGTTAATGGATAAATCCTTTATAAACATCACAAGTGTGACTTTTATCCACAGTACTTACTATTCTTTTCGGTGGAAATGCTTCATAGTCAAACCTCATAGCTTCGTTTGCTTTAAATATCAAAATACAAAAGTTCTCAAATGCCAAATCATGCAAGATTTTCTCGGAAGAATTAACAGAATTTGTACTATTCAACATTGAATCCAACTTGAAACATTTGAACGAATCTTTATCGCTCTTTGGAATCTCTCCTGACGGAGGCCAGGTAAAAGTTGCCCTGCTTTGCGATGAAAGCGAATTCCATAATTGACATCGCAGCGACTCCCAATATTCACGTGGGGAGATGTTATTTGGTTCGTCGAGAATTATCTTTGGGGCTGGAAACCTGGTTATCTTATTTTGCGATGATGTAATATAAAATCGACCCGAGAAATTATAAATTTCCTTTGATATCGGCATTTGCCTAGAGGCATTAAACAGAGCGAAAGATCATATGACCATACGAATTTAAGGGTGACGCGATAATGATGTCCATATTAAAGAACGAATTAATAAAGTTCTTTGGATGGTACGCATCACCATACCTACCAGTTTAATTGAGCATTTGGATTCGATTTAATGTCACCGTGTAAGTTGTGGTCATTAAAAGCCATTGAAAATAAGAGATATCTTGGATCATCTTTAAGAAAGTCCAAAAACCTTATGTTATGCAACGATGGTTGACCATTCCTACGTAGGTTCGTCATTTGAACAAACGCTTATCAGAGGGAAGAAATGTTGAATTTGAATTGTGAGTATAGTTATTTGCAATTTGCCATTCAACCGCCGACAGGCAAGGTTTCTATGAACTCGCATACAACATTGAATTATCTTTTTCTCGACCAAGAAAACAAAGATGATGCAAGAAATTATACATACCAACATTCCTATGGTTTTTTTTGTGACTTTGTTCTAGTAATCGATACCATGGCGGAGGATATCTTGTCTCCATTTTTTACCAGAGGATAAATTCCAACTCTGTATTTATATATGTTTGATCATCACACATGTGGCGTAATCGGTTTTATAACCTAATTGGTTTATGGGAAACTCACAAAAAATAGGCTTTCCTTATGTATCGACCATCAAATAAAACAAACCCACTTCTTCATTTATATCCACCGCCACCTCATCCGCCACCACCCAACGACTTTCCATCTTCATCGAGTCCTCAACAATTTCTGCGATTTCGTGAATTTCACCAGAAACATTTTGTCGATAACAGTGAATTCTTTCGGTCTGTATTGAATCCAAGACCACTCCACTCGCAAAGAGTTTATGAAGGACTCAATTGGAATCAAAATGATAACGATCGTAACCAACCTAGTGGAAGGGATGGATATTATGGAGAAGATAATGAAGGGTGGATAGAGGATGAAGGAGGATATGGCGAAGGAGTTAATGACGAATGGAACGAGGAAGAAGAGGAAAAGGTGGAACTTGTGTTGAGCGATGAGATGATTGCTATGTTCCGATTTTCAGAGATGAGGAGATTGAAAAGTAATTGTGATGAATGAATGAAATTGATCAAATAAAATATTTTGACATGTATATTCTAAATGTTCATTGTACGTTCATAGAAGAAGGCGCTTCCTCAGAAGGGGAAGATAAACTCCCGTCCGAAAAAAACCGTCCGCCCACACCATCATACGCAACTTCTGAACCCGATCCATCAATATTGACATCAAACTTGACCACTGCCGAAGCACTAGAACTCTACGGAAAATCATATCCAACCATTCAAACACTGGAAGCAACACTCAATGATTTCTTTCAGAGGAGCTGTCACAAGAAAGAAGAAGAATCGGTAGTGTATTGGCCGGTGTTACCTATGAGATTTATTTAGACAGAAACAAATTAGATTTTCGCATATTCTTCAACTTACTTGTCTCGTAATATTTCCTGTTCTCCCGCTTGGAAAATTGATGATGCATCAAGACCATATGATCTCATGTGAACGGCAAGAACAGATTTGTGATGATGTTAGCACAAAAGCCAAAATTGGACACTTTGAATCTTTACCGTTTACTGATCAATGTCAATGATTTAAAGTTAAATGCGCATTGTCACCTTAATTCAAGATTATATCGAATTTGGATAAGGGTGAATTTGAAAAAAGCAATTACAATGATATGTGTAACTTAATATATGCCATTATCAAAATGAATCAAGTGTTTGAATTTAAGCCTACCTTATTTGTTAAAATAATATATAACCAGTATATATAATAGGAATTTTGAAATTTTGAAAACAATTTGATACAATCATTTGACATGATCAATTAATTAAGCTATTAATAAAAAAACATCAAATTATTGAATCAGGTAATAAAGAGATAAATTTATTTGTTTATTTATTGTGTTGTTTGATAAAGATATATTATTTGATTAAAAAAAATTTTTTTTATATCAGGTTATAAAAAATATTTTATTTAATATTATAATAGTATTTTATTATTGTAAATATACACTATATTATTTAATATTTGTGATTTCAGAATTAATTAAATTATAAATAAAAATAATTTTTTTTAAAAAAATAAATATTACACAAATTTGAATTTGAATCCTGATTAAATGTATATATTGTTTTAAAAATTTATTTAAAAAAATTATTTAAATGTATATATATTTTTTTAAATAATTTATTACTGATTAATTTGTTGCCATTTATTTATGTATAAAATTTACGTGATGATTGATAGTATCATTAATTTTTTTATTAAATTTTTTTTTTATTTTAATTTTAGTGAAAAATAATAAATTTATTATTATTATTTTATTATTATTTTATTTGTTTTTTATTTGTTTTTTTCTTTTTAAAAATTAATACTTTGTTGTTATATTCAATTCAATATTTAAATTTTCCAAGTTTCAAGGATTTTTTTTTATTTACTATTAATGTCATGATGATATGTATTTAATGATATTCTAGAATATATCGAATTTATATTATTTGTTTTAAAAGAAATTCCATAAGTCGGCACTCTCCGTGTTATGTTTTCTTGTCATACATCAAATTTCGAAAGTTTTTTCTATTTCGTAAACTGCTTACATATAGAACTTTCTGATTTTACAGTGGAAATTCACTCGAATTAGATCTACGTGAATACCCAAATATGGCAATTTTTGTATAAGAATTAACATATTCGCCAAAGAAACGTTTGATTTATTACAATCTAATAGGCGTTATGAATGCTACCTAGTAAATAATAAAAATACGTATTTGTAGAGTACACGGATATTAATGATTCGCCTCGCTTGGTAAGCTGCTTTTTGATAGGAGTTCCAACAATCGATCGGAGATCCACTCCTATTAAACAATGAAATTTGTCAAAGAAAAGTCACATAAAAAAACTAGGATCGGGTAACCGTCCCCGGACTCTATGGTTGCTATATAACTTTGTCTCATTGCGGCCGTACAGTGAATAGAATTCCAACGGTTTTTTCTTAAGTTGAAAAGAAGTTTTTCTAGAGCGGCCGTACAGTGAATAGAATTCCAACGGTTTTTTCTTAAGTTGAAAAGAAGTTTTCTAGAGATTTTCTAAAGAAATTGGATTTTCTTTATTATTATATTAACGTTTCAAAAACTGTTTAAATCGTTTATACTAATTTGTGTTGTCTAATAGAATAATGTATAAATATAGCACTACTAAACGTTTGTTAAACCTTTGGAGCTTTTACAAAACGAAACTCTCGAAGTTTATTTTAATTGAAAGTTCCGTACAAAAGAAATTTCTAGGTTTATTAGGTTTATTCGCTGAAATTTTTAAAAAAAGCTCTCCAAAATGCCTGTTAGAGTAAACTACCAACTCTTGTCAATGCATATGCGGTTTGATGCATGTTCGATCGCTCGAAGATTAACCATCTATATCAATTTAGATATTCGCTGGCTGGCATATCAGTTTCCTAGAAACCCTTATCAAATCTATCAAATAGAAGGAGAAAATATTTTTCTAATAAGCGTCTTCATAATTGCAAGGGGTCTTGGAATCACGAATGTGACTTATCTCTTACAGCTGACCGATTTCATTTGGCAATGGGTTCTGAATGTAAATCAGCGAAGAGTTTATCGTCAGATTGCAAGATCAGTAAATTTATATCGATTGATCAATCCTCCAATTCCAGTTCCAATTACAGCTCCAGTTCCGGTTCAAAATGCTCCACTTCAACAAGGGTCCGCACAACCAACGACCCTAGCAGAAGTTGAGGATTTTGTTATGAGACAGCGTTTTAATGCTCGGCCGGTGGACCGTCAACCGTTTTCTCAAGAAGATGATCTATTAAACGGATCGCCAAACATGTTCTATGAAAGATAAGTTAGGAAACGTTAAGTTCATAATTCTAAGCATCGGGTATATGTGGACTATCTAATTCCCTCATGCTATATCGGCTATTATTATTGTTGCTATCAATAAATATAACTTTAAGCATTATTCACGTTGCATTTCATTTGTCAATATCGTAATGTACAGTAAAAAATTTTTTGATCGTTTATCTTATTTTAAGCTAAGTATTTTATACTAACGTTTACGTCACAATTCTTTGACTATGCGTTATATGAACAGGTTCGAGGTAAGATCAAGAGAATAAACTAATGTGTGTTTATTGATTTCTGTTCTTCATTACCTTATTAACTATATAATAATCTACTATTTTCTATACCTTCATTAAATACGTCCTATTGTCGGAGGTGTAACGGCGAGTCTGTCACTACGACGCGATCGCCGATCATGTAGCGTCGAATAGAGGTGTGTGGATATGGCACGAGGTAAGTGAAAGTATTAGATATGGAGCTGAGTGTTTTATGAAAAAGGTCTTATTACCTGTCCTTTGACAATACAATTATCTCTCTCTTTATACATGTGAGAAATTTTTTAATCCCTTTACACTATATACTGTATATTATTTGTTTTTAATCGAAAGGCTTTTTTGCAATCATGCTTTAATTAGATTTTATATGAACATAACTAATAATAACTAATATAATAAAAATATGATGTGATGATATAATAATTATTTGATATTTTTTCTCATCTTAATATTATTATTATATACTGTATATCTAATTGAAATTTTTTAAAAAATAATAATATAATCATGAAATACTTGTTATTCCACTATTACAAATACATTGATTTAAAAATTGAATTTTATCTTGATTAAGTTTTAAATTGAGTTTTTCCTTTAATAATTTAATTATACTATTTATATTTATACTTTTCTTGTAATAAAAACTTGATTTATTATTTCAACTAATAAATAAAAATAGATTCTTAAACTAAAAGCGAAGATATAATTCAAGTATCTCTTATTATTAAAAGTTTTTTAAAAATATATATTATTAAAAAAACCATTTATAAAGATTTTTGTAATTTAAAATACTTAATTCAAGTGTTTTTTAAATTTTTTTCTATTAAAATAATGAATGATTGATTATGTTTTCTTCAAAAAGATATATGTTAAATTGTTAAAAACTTATTTTTATTAATAAAACCAATTAAAATCTTTATATTAGTTTAAACAATTTAATAAAATTATTTAATATTATATAATTTAATAGAATTAAAAATTACATTTTATAAAATTTAATTTATTGTCCGAAGCAAAGCGTAGGACCTATACTTCTACGCATAGTGATATCGAATGTCTGTTTGTCTGCACGCCATATTGTCCAATTCCGCATACATATAGTATCAATATAGTTAAAATAAATCATCAATTACGGGTAGGTTTTCACAAACATATTATTTACTAATTGAAAATTCTCAAATAGATTAACTAGATTATTATTATTGTCCATTGTCTGAAGCAAAGCAGAAGACTATATTTCTATGTAATATCATTCTGTCTGTCTGCCTGATCGGCAAATAAGATTTCGTCTTTTGTATAATTACACTTTTGGACCACTAATCATCGTGAAATTGCCAATTAAAAATGTTCGGATGTGACTTTACATATGTCATCCAATTAGTGCTCTCATTCCTTCACTGCCCGCTCTTGTTGCTCTTTGTCTTTACTCCCATCTATTGCTCCTGACGTGAAGTAAACTATAATAAGAGTATGGGCCATCTGCGTTGTGATGATCTTCACGTAGGCCATCGATGATACATCTTTGCGTGAGCCATCTGTGATAAGATATGCTGCACATTCGTGTAAGCCATCAGAGTGTGATTGTAATGGTTTCAATAAAGGAACATGTTGGTCATTAATAGTTTGTCATTATTAAAGGAAAACTTTATTAATGGAG